ACAAAACTTCTGCAGGTCAAAGGTCCTTTCATTATAGAGGCGTTACACTCTGGAATGATTTGGACATAAAGTACAAAAAGTTAGACTCCCTAAAAACTTTCAAAAACGAACTGAAGCGAAGCATGCCAGAACAAATATATAAGTAGATAATTTTACCTTGTTAAACTTTATACAAATGTCTTACCTTTTTACCTTAATTTAAATTCTAGATTCTAAAACTTGTAAATAGAACAACATTTATTTTTTGTAAATCAGTGTTGAAAATCCCTATTTAGGGAACACAATAAAGTATGTATGTATGTATGTATGTATTAAACGACTCGAAAACCCCATAATTTGGACCCGACGCGAATTTGTACAATATAGTGGAATATAAGCAAGTACAAGGTAAAGATTCTACAGTTTATTTTGATTTATTGTATGGTACTCATTTGTCTAATACAATAACATTTAGTTCACAAGGGCAAGTTAAAGGTTTGACCATATTAAAATACATGTTTGAAATTCGCGCAATAGCTACTAGAATTCGCGCAAGTAAAGATAAAGCGAGCGTTCAAAATACCAAAAAGAACTAAGGCATTTATTGTATGGTTCTCATTTGCCTAATAGAATAACATTTAGTTCACAATATAATATAAACACAATATAAACAATGAAAAGTTAAAGGTTTGACAGTTTCACAACACAACGTCGACAATATACGTTAGCCTAATACATGTATTAAAATTCGCGCAGTAGCTACTAGTTGGCGCGCCAAACGCTTTGTGGTAGCTATACTAAAGATAAAGCGTGCCTTCAAAATACCTACAAGAACTAAGACATTTATTGTATGGTTCTCATTTGCCTAATACAATAACATTTAGCTCGACGCGAATTTTAACTATAGTATCATATTTCATAATATAATGAACAATGTAAACTAGCCAATTCTTTCACCTACAAAATGTCGACAATATACCTTAATACATGTATTAAAATTCGCGCAGTAGCTACTAGAGTTCGAGCAAGTAGTGAAGATCAAGCTTGCATTCAAAATACCGAGACATTTATTGCATGGTTCTCATTTGCCTAATACAATAACATTTACTTCACAATATAATATAAACAAGGAATAGTCGTTCGATTTGGCTATACTGTTTGCTCGTTTTTAATGTGTATTGATCATTTCAATAATCGATTTACATATCAGTCTGCTCGATTCGAGTAAGGGTTGCCCGATTTGTATCATTGGTGATTTGGTGTTCGACTTATAACTATTGGACCTATTGAATTTTGACAGTAAAAACGCGCCATATATAATACATGTATTAAAATTCGCGCAGTAGCTACTAGCATTGGAGCAAGTAAAGATAAAGCGGTGCGTTCAGTGAAATACCAACAAGAACTAAGATATTTATTGTATGGTTCTCATTTTCCTAATACAATAACATTTAGTTCACAATATAATATAAACAAGGAAAAGTTAAAGGTTTGGCGTTTGACTACACAATGTCGGCATTATATCTTAATACATGTATTAAAATTCGCGCAGTACGTATAGCTAGTGCTACTAGCATTCCGGCGGACCTATTGAATTTTGACAGCAAAAACGCGCCATATAATACGTGTATTAATTAAAATTCGCGCAGTAGCTACTAGAATTGGCGCAAGTAAAGATAAAGCGTGCGTTCAGTGAAATACCAACAAGAACTAGAACGTTTATTGTATGGTTCTCATTTTCCTAATACAACTCGATCAACTCATAGCTATTATGTGCTCATTTGTTATCATGTGCTCATTAATTCTTATATCAATATTGGAATATGATCACGAAATACTGCGTAGCGCAAAGTCTCCATTCTTCAAAAACGTATCGTTCAAGGCAACTGAAAGGCGAAGAAGACAATGATATATTATATCTGACTGCTTCAATACTCAGAAATGATCCACGATCATGATTTGATAAAGTTCAATATGGTCACGTGATTTTCGGTGTGAACCTGAGATACTATCTATAAATATTATTACTAAGTATCTGACATTAAACTAAATGTGATTAAAGCACAAGAGATGTTACCTATGTCTCATTTTATATTTTTATTTTTTTTCCTATGAAGGTTTGTTACTTGTGCAAAAGCGCAACTTTAATTAGGTTTCAAACAGTTTCTGCCTTCTGCTTTTTGTTGTCGAATTATTGATTTTCTTTGGATAAATCTACCGCTGAAACTGTTCTATACGAACTCTCTTGCTTCCCATTCCCTTGTCTATTACACCATAGCCAATCTCGTTCCCCGAGCATGCGATCCTCGGGAAGGAAACGAAGGTTCTGGGATAATCCGTTGCCGAAAGCCAGGAATTCTGGCTAAGATTGAACTGCACATTCCATATCAACGGCCAATCAGATTCCTCCCTGAAACGGATTATCCCAGAGCCTTCGTTTCCTTCCCAACGACCGCAGGCTCAGGGAACGAGATTGCACCATAGCACGCATATCATCATTTTCAGGTCAGTGTGAACGCCTGAGTAGGCGTCTTGTTTTATTTAGAACTGTTGAATGATTTAGGACTGTTAAATTTTATTTAGCACCAATGAATGTTTCAACAACATTATTCAAGTTTTTCTCCTTCAAAAATCAAAACTGTCAAAAATTCTGTTACAATTCTATTTCTACTCGTTTCGCTCGCCATTCTGCCTGCTTTCCATGTGGCTGCCCAACCGCATCCAAGGAATTACTGGTCAGCGGTAGTCACGCGACTTAAACGCGTGGTTTAAGATTTGTCAAATGTCCCAACCCTCGGACTTCGAAGAATGTTTTTTTTATCCCACTTGGGGCAAGAAATTTCGTGCAAATCCCGAGGGTACGCCCGGCCTCCCCACCATTGGGGGAATGACATTGATAGGTGCATAAAAAACGCTATAAAATACATTCATACCTATAACTTTTCTGAGGTTCACAACGAAGCGTGTTCACATATCGCCGTCTTGTTAACAAATTTTCTTCGCCATTATTGCTCAGAATTTTATGACATTGCGTGTACATAGCCAAAAGTTGCCTGGTTGTTTTGCTGTGGATAAAAGTTATGGATGGATGTAAAAAGTGGTTAAAATCCACCATTTCATCTTCGAAAAAAAATCGTTCTTGTATTTTAGCAGTCTTTCCGTTGTAGTTCAACCCCCCCCTGAAACCAAATTTTTACTGTAAATACGTCACAAACTGTTTACTTTTTCAACGATTTGAATCACATAATTTTTTGAAAATATGACGAACGAAATAACCTTATGGAGTCAACAAAATTTTCTTCAGACCATGAAATGTTTGTGCAAATTTTTCAGCTTTCTTGCAGTCTTGAAAACAAAATTTATGTGCGGGTATATAGAACAATTATCAGAGTTCAATGTGGTATAATTATTTATCATGTTTTATTTACGTGTGCGAAGTATTTTGCGTTTTGCCGAAGTCGTATATTCGTCAGTTGAGACGTAGTTGCCAACCTTAGGTATATTCCATATATATGAACAATGCTTTTCACTGAGTGCTTGCGGCGCGCGACAAATAACAGAGGAATGGGGCAAGCTTAATATAAATTGGTTTTTGGAAGCGTTTGGTGCATTCTACACGCCGGTTTTTTTTTGCCTATGCTCGGGCACAGTTTTTCTCACCCGGACCTCGCAGCCGGTAAATAACATATATATATCTTAATCTCGTTCTTACAAAGGTTAAGTTAAAAAGGTGTAACGTGTCCGTAAGGAGAACCTAAACCGAAAAAAACCCCAAATATTTTCGGCAACAAAGCACTCGAACTGACCAAATAACCAATTTCATAAACTTCTTCAGCAACCGATATTTTCATATTAATTTGACACAACCTGTTCAATTTGCATCCAAAACCTTCGAAATGAATTGTTTTTGCCAATAAAGTCTGATCGAATGGGATTCGAAGTAGTAAAACCATCAAACAAGTCAAATTTTGTAATATTCTAGCTATATGTTTTTCGCCCAGTTGAGCCGCCATCTTGAATACTCGAAACTCGAGTTATAAACTACCTGTTTGCAGGTAACCCATAAAAGTAAAAATTTAGCTATCTGCAGAAATAGCTTCACAAAGTAAAAGGTTTAGCCTGTGTTTTTCTGTCGCATAACTAAATAAATCACTGACTCGCAAAGGGGGTGTTTATATACAGACGAACTCTCAATCGAAAGTTGCTTCTTAGCTTTACTTGAAGCTATTTAAACCCTGAAATATCCAACTATATTCTTTAGAATACAATACCAACCATTATTTAGTATAGTATATTGGTTTTCTCATTTCTTTGTCAGCTATTTTCAATCACAGTAACCCAAATCTAATTACCCAGTCCAAAAATAAGCAAATCCCAGTTACAATTTTACCTCTTCAGGACCCTCTACAAAATATTATGATGCCCACCTCCCCTACACTTTCCCACTTTATTCGCTTTAATTTAAAGAAAAACATATGCACTTCACACAATATTTCGCTTTAAAAACAAAATACTTTTATCTCCAAATACAAAGAAACGTAAAGCGCATTATGCGTATGAAGTTTTTTAGCGGACAAAATATCTGAAATGTATCAATCGAGTTTATGCGCTATAAATTGATGTTATGTGCTATACATTGATGTTATGTGCAAATACATCGATGTCATAAACCGATACAACTAAAAGATGAACCGATACAACTAAAAGATGAACCGATACAAATAAAAGATAAATCGATACAACTAAAAGATAAACCGATACAAATAAAAGATGAGGAAACGGAAGTAAATACCAATAAAAGATGAGGAAACGGAAGTAAATACCAATAAAAGATGAGGAAGCGGAAGTAAATCGGAAAAACGGAAGTTGAGCGACGCGGCGACATACAACAATGGCGTCTCTTGGACCACGCATTTGGCTTCCTAATACAGAAAACGTTTTTCGTGAATTGGTTGATTTAATAAGAAATGCTGAACAAAGTGTCGCACTCGTTGTGACTCGCCAGACTTTTATTGTCGTAGATTAGAAGAGTATGAACGCACATTGAGACTCAATGATTGAGTGTTTTAACAACAAGAATCACCGAATCATACACAACGGAGCAGTTTTTAATCAACAATCTACATATACTATGTACTTATTTAAATAGTTTACGAAATGAATTCGACGTTATTGTTGAAAATTATGAACGGACGTCAGAGCGCTTTTCACTAGAAGAGTCTTACGATCGTGCGGTTTGTACGGCGGAAAGAAACGGGCTCGTTGGTAGGCCAAGAATACAAGTCACAGAAGAGCAGTTAACCACATTGCTTTTTAAGTTTAGATATAGGTAAAGAGAACCATATTGGTGTCCTAGTAATAAATTTATGCCACAATAGTCCCTAAATGTTAGATCAAAAATGTAGTGTGAAATATGATAGTGTGATGGCCTCGTGTTCAGTGGCACAATTTATGCTTGTGAAAATAATGTTGTATTTGATAAGCCTGAGAATAAAAAATAAAAACCCACTTGTATATGTATAAATGTAAACCTAAGAAATATAAGTGTAGGTGTAGACTTTTCGAACATAAAATTGGAGATGCGTGTGTGAAATTGTATCTGTAAAATATCCTGTGGTGTAAAAAAATTTGATCATACTCAAGGAGTATGATCTCGCTCTACTAAAAAGCTTGTATGGAGGCATGTAAAATATATAAGGCGAGAGAAGGAGATAGCCATGTGTGTAAAATTCAGTATCCCTGAAAGGCTGGCTGCGGCACAGACGCATTATTTGGTACACACCGTACATACGAATTCTGAGTACGTGGTATTCGGAAACGAGAATTCAGTTCTTCGGGTAACGATGTGAACTGCTGCACTGAACCACCTTGTGATGCGTTTTCTTCACGTGTTTGCGAAGAATGCTGTAAATTGGTCACCGCGCTTAAGATTGACTGAACAAAATCCTGAACATTTGGTCTTCTGCCCTAGCTGTCTCTCTTCTGCCTAGCCCTAGTTTGGCCTGCAGTTCTACCCTTGTTTTTCAATATGTATTCACCAGCTTGGCGCCACTACTTGGCACGCGCAATTTTGCTGCGTCGCTCAACTTCCGTTTTTCCGATTTACTTCCGCTTCCTCATCTTTTATTGGTATTTACTTCCGTTTCCTCATCTTTTATTGGTATTTACTTCCGTTTCCTCATCTTTTATTTGTATCGGTTTATCTTTTAGTTGTATCGGTTTATCTTTTAGTTGTATCGGTTTATGACATCGATGTATTTGCACATAACATCAATGTATAGCACATAACATCAATTTATAGCGCATAAACTCGATTGATACATTTCAGATATTTTGTCCGCTAAAAAACTTCATATATGCGAGTCTACCAAAGGGCAGGAAAAATGCCTGCCTAAATAATAGGAATAACTACAGGAAAAGAAAAAGATTTAGTGTAAGAAACGGCTCAAGATATAAGCTCAGAAATTTCATCGATTTTTGTGCCAAGATGAAGTTACATTTAGTTTACTCTCTCATAATTTTTATACACTTTTTCTCGAGTTTCGTCAAAGCAAGACTGCATGCTTCCGATCCCGTCTTTCCTTCTTTTTTATAATCAGGTTTTTGCTCATTTGCTTCTGGTTTTGATATAATCTTGGTATTACTGGTCGAGCACTATCGTCGATCTCCATATGGTTATGTTACATCAGTTACTTATATCTCTGCTACATTAATTTGGTCTTGCACGGAATAAATGTAAAAGATGCATACCTGTGAGGGATATAGTGATGTTAGAATTACTTCCTGCTCTTAGTTTTGCCTCCATGCGAATGATATATGTGGCCATATGATGTGGTTGGATATTCGAACTTCGAGCTGCTCGAATCTTCTGCGTGAATTCGTACACTTCTTGTCTTATGTGGGCAATGCAATTGGAATCCTGAATAGACCGGGCCGGTAGGAAACAGAGAGAATTCGGTAGAGTGCCGGGATTAAAAAGCAATCCAGCGGTAACACCCGGAGAAAGAAGAGTTGTTAATTTTATGTCAGCTACGTCCAACCAAGCATGAGTTGTTTCGTCCCAATACCTCGCGATATTGAGAATACTTGCTGGATCAGCTAATTGCACTTCGTGTAGAGTCATCTGCAGTTTGTATTTCACTGCTCCACGAGAAATTCTTTGTTTGAATTCTTGCTTCAAATAGTCTTTCGCTCTGGTTTCTGAAGACAGTCGCTCATTTCTCCTACAAAATAAAAAAAAAACATTTGAAAATAAATGTTTTGTAAGGGACACTGCCGTGATGCCCTGCGTACTGATATACTGTGCCCATGTTGTGCTCCCAGTCGGAAATAATGCCTGAGCTGCCCTCTTGTAATTTTTTATAACAATTTTAACCGGGCCTCATCATCAGGCCTCATGCACCCCAACCCCTTTCTTATCCCACTTGTCTTATGCCCCAAAAGACAAAGTAATACGCCTCATCCACTTTAATTGTGTAGTCATGTGGGATACTAGTTGGAATTATCAATATAAAGTTATACCAAATATGTCTTTGGTCATCTTCACTCAGCAACCCCGTTTCCATAGATCCATCGGCAGGCATCAATCGAAATCTGGCGTAACGTTTCACAGAATCCAACGCTCTAAATTCCACAATAATTTCAGAGTAATATCGCTGATCAAAAAAGGAATCTGGCGCTCGACGTAAACCATCAATGTTGCTGGCGAGTCTGATGTTGTAGAGAAAATAAATTTATTTATATAGTAGCTTTGGCACTTACAAAATGGAATATATACAGTATATATTAAGTATTAACAATGAAAAATTAAGAAATAGAATAATTAAAAAATTAATTTGAGAAGAAGGTCAACTGTCGAAACTGATTGGGCTGTTAATCAGGGGTGTAGCCTAGACGAAGGAGGCTATGTGGGGTTGAGTCCCCTTGTTTGGAGTTCAGGAGACCTGAGCTGGCTGTCATCCCAACATTTTTCAAGCAATTTTAGCAAATGTCTTTCTTATTGAAATTTGACGATAATCCTTGGTGCGGAATATCAATGAAAAACCAAGCATTTACACACAATATTTCATCAATGTTGCGTTTCTCCTTGAGATTATGTGGCAGCAAACAAATGCATTTTGGAAGAAACTTTATTTTCGATCTTGTTTCAGCGAAGACGTCTTGAATGCTAATTTCGCGATTGAAACAAGTATACAGGTGGTGAGGTATTTCAAGTAATGCCCACTGAATTATCTAACATGGAAGGCTGACTCCAGCTCAAAAAGTGAAGCCAAACATGGTGGAAATTGAATGCATTCTTGCGCGTCAATTTCAGTCACCTTATACATGCGCGGTCGACTAAACTTGTATATTTGTTCGAGTATTTTATTTATTTTCCGAGTAAAAACCTTGTAAAAACAGACGAAATTTGAATGAAAAGTTGAATTCTGATGTTTTGTTTGTGTACAGTTCTAAATTTTAATCATTATTTATTTAAAAGATGCGATATTTGAGTTGGAAGGAAGAAAAATAGCGCAAGATTGTTGTTTTTATAAATGACAAAGAGTGACAAAACAAAACATAAATGTCACTCAATATTTCAAAATATCTCTATTGCCCTTGTTGACAAGGGTTTCAAACACATAAGTAATTCATTAAAATAAACCGTTAGTGATTTAATTAAATAGGAAATAAAAAACAAAATTTTCTTACATGTATGGTAATTTCGAAATCTCGGCACTACATCGATCGAGCAAAAAACTGGGCGAGTGGAGTCTGCAGAAAGGCTAGCACATCAAGAATAGTGTGAAGCTAGCACATCAAAAATTTATTGGGAAATGTTCTCAATATGTAGAAACTCCTGTTCGTTCTTACCGATCTGGGCTATCGAGATAATAATCTTTCAAGTTGCCACTCCAGTTAGCTGCAAGAGCATCGTAAATACCCTTCACATTGGACAATGGGTTACCTCTTCCAGTCGACATTAGAATATCTAATAAACTTTCCTCGTCACTATCAGCAAATCGTATTGAAGCACTTAGAAAATCCAACATGGCGTCATCTTTGGATTTAAGAGTTGAATGACGGAGGCACACAGGGAATGATTTTCCTGGAGTAAAGAACTCACATGCTGGAAATTGTGGCTCAGGTACGACCGTTGCGACACCTCGTGCGGCGACGCCAGTAGCGTGTGTTGGTCGTCGCCCAGTGTACAGTACTGCGGCACCGAAAAGCATTTTGATCTTCTGTTTTTCGAGACTCAATTTAACTCCATCAAAAATACTTCTCGGTGGAACCTACAATAATAGGAATAAAGGCGGATTACATTTTGAAGTACACTTGTCTATTAACAAGCAGCTTGTTGATGCAGGAGCAGTCCAGCATGGAGCAACTTAGCAAACAAGACGCTCCATTGAGCGTAAAGTCGCTGGCTACCGCATATGTAGATTTCGAAATACTATACGTGTAAAGTATGATTGAGTGTTATTTTGTTATGAACATATTTAAATACATTATATGGTATGCAAATAATTATTTAAACAGATTTTGGAAATTGTCGGCAAACTTGAAGACTAGTACTATCATTTTTTGGAAAATCATCCATGGAATAATTTGAAATTTGTAGTAAGTATAAACATGCAACGGAATTTCATCGTTTGTATAGAATATAGACTGACTTATAAATGAAACTATACCAAAATTTCTTTATAGAAATTCTGTAGTGTGAAGCCTTAGAGCCTTTGCTATTATGAACTCTTGAAAATTCGGTATTGTTGAAAGACTTACCTAAATTGGAAGGTCTCAAAGTTAAACGCTGTTTTAAGCCGCCTGGATTCAGCGAAGTAGCTTCATCCGAGTTACATCATTTCTCTGATGCTTCACAGCGTGGCTACGGTGCTATTTCGTATTTACGAATGATCGACGCGAAAGAAGAAGTTCACTGCGCGTTTGTGATGGGCAAATCAAGGTTGGCACCGTTGAAATCAGTTACAATTCCACGGTTGGAATTGTCGGCAGCTGTCTTGACAACGAAGTTAGACAAGACGATTAGGAAAGAAATCGATATTCCAATGAATGATTCGTTCTTCTGGACGGACAGTACGTGTGTACAAAATTTCTTTATAGAAATTCTGTAGTGTGAAGCCTTAGAGCCTTTGCTATTATGAACTCTTGAAAATTCGGTATTGTTGAAAGACTTACCTAAATTGGAAGGTCTCAAAGTTAAACGCTGTTTTAAGCCGCCTGGATTCAGCGAAGTAGCTTCATCCGAGTTACATCATTTCTCTGATGCTTCACAGCGTGGCTACGGTGCTATTTCGTATTTACGAATGATCGACGCGAAAGAAGAAGTTCACTGCGCGTTTGTGATGGGCAAATCAAGGTTGGCACCGTTGAAATCAGTTACAATTCCACGGTTGGAATTGTCGGCAGCTGTCTTGACAACGAAGTTAGACAAGACGATTAGGAAAGAAATCGATATTCCAATGAATGATTCGTTCTTCTGGACGGACAGTACGTGTGTACTAAGTTATATTTCGAATGAAGACAAGAGGTTCCACACTTTCGTTGCAAATCGCGTGTCTACAATTCACGATGTATCATCACCGTCTCAATGGAACTACGTTGATACGAAATCTAACCTTGTTGACGACGCGTTGAGAGGACTGGAAATAGAGGATCTGGTGAAGAACAAACGTTGGCTGGATGGACCAGAGTTCTTCTGGAAAACAAAAGACTGCTGGCCGAAACTGGAGATGGACGATGTTTCCAAAGTTAAAGAGGACGATCCAGAAATAAAGAAATACAAATCTCTGGCAGTCACAACTAATCCCGCCGCCATTTAGAACATGAGTGAAATATTTGCCAGATTTTCCTCCTGGTACCGTTTGAAAAGGTTTGTTGCCTGGCTGCTGCGTTACAGGTCGGCATTACGTAAAGCTCGCGAAAGACGTTCTCGAGGGGAGCCTGTACCGAAACACACAGAGATTCAGCCGATGACTGTTAAAGAGATGCAAAAAGCGGAACGCGAAATCGTCAAAGTTGTACAACAACAAAGCTTCCCAACTGAGATTGCAACTATTCGAAAGAAAGAAAGATCCAATGCCGAAAACAATGGCAACTCGAGAGCAATCAAACCATCAAGTCCAATCTACAAGCTTGACCCGATCTCGAAGAGGGACGTTTTATGCGTTGGAGGACGTTTGCGAAACGCAACACTCTCAGATGAAGCGAGGAATCCTGTGATATTACCAGAAAGTCATCCTGTCGTGAAATTAATCATCGAGTATTACCACGACATTTCTGCCCATTCTGGTTTGGAGCATGTTCTAGCATTATTAAGAGAAAAATACTGGATTGTTGGCGCTCGCGTCGCAATCACGAGCGTACTAGGACGGTGTCATGATTGTAAGAAGAGACGTGAACCTGTTGGCGAGCAAAAGATAGCAGATCTTCCGGAAGATCGTGTCACGCCTGGAAAACCACCTTTCACTAACGTAGGCGTAGATTGTTTTGGGCCTTTCACAGTGAAACGCGGTAGAAGTCATGTGAAAAGGTACGGTGTAATGTTCACTTGTTTGGCGATTCGAGCGGTACATATCGAAATTGCGAACAATTTGGACACTGACTCGTTTATCAATGCCTTGAGGAGATTGGTAGCGAGGCGAGGTCAACCTGAAGAGATATGGTCCGATAAAGGGACGAATTTCGTTGGAGGAAATAGAGAGTTACGGGAGTCCATCAACTTGTGGAATCAAGAGAAGATCAACCAGTTCTTGACGCAGAGAAATGTGAAGTGGACTTTCAACCCACCAAAGCATCTCACCACGGAGGTGTTTGGGAACGTTGTATTCGTACGGTAAGGAAAGTTCTGAATGCAATTACGAAAGAGCAAGTGCTTGACGACGAACGTTTGTACACTCTCATGTGCGAAGTCGAAGCAATTGTGAACGGCTGACCAACTACGAAAGTCTCGGACGTTCCTAAAGATCTAGAAGCCCTCACTCCAAACCACCTGTTACTGCTCCGGAAAGGATCCCACGTTCCCCCCAGTGTATCTACCAACAACGATACCCATTCGCGTCGCAGATGGAGACCTTGCAGATATCTTCTGGAAACCTTGGGTAAAAGAGTATCTACCACGTCTGCAAGAACGACAGGAATGGACCAACACTCGAAGGAACTTTTCCGTGGGAGATATAGTGCTTCTCGAAGACGAAAGCTCGCCTCGTTCACAGAATAAAGACATACAGAAGTGTAACTTCCATTACAAAACCGTAAGGCGCTTTTTTACCGAAATAGCTGGCGGCCATGTTCTTAGCAAGTGCCCTAAAGATAGGCATTCACCCCCCTGGAATATTACATTTTGAATATGTTTTCAGGGGGGTGACTGCCTCTCTTTAGGGCACTTGCTAAGAACATGGCGGACTGAAAAAATCCCTTACGCACTTTTAATAAGAAGATACACTTCTGTATGTCTTTATTCTGTGCCTCGTTGCAGCTGGCCGTTGGGTAGGATAGTCGACGTTCACCGCAACAGTAAAGATAAGCTCGTGCGAAGTGTCTCGGTGAGAACAAAATCTACAATCTTGGACCGACCGGTGGCGAAGATAGTCCTGTTGGAGAAAGTGGAACACGTGGAAGGAGAAGGAAGAACCAAGTGAACGGTTTGATATTGCATGAACATATTTGCATGTTATAGATTTATTAATAGATAATTTTACTTTTCGATCCATTTATGTTTGGGAAATGCTTCACATAAATAGTTTCGCATTTAGGAGCCGGTATGTTGGATCGGAAAGCGAAATGAAGGTTAATAAGTGCATCATTGTGAATGACACTTGCATCTGTTAATGATCACAGAACAGTCGAACATTTGTTAGTATAGATAATCAGCCTTTATTTTATCTCATAATTGGTTTAATATGACAAGTGTACATCATGACACGCAAACCAGTGCATGAGTCAGTATAGTTTTGTAATTCAAAGACAGAGGACACTGCTATATCTTTTAGAGGATATTTATGGTAAAAGAATAGACGATAAAGAGTGACAGGGAAAACATCTTCGAACCACGTTTCACGTTTATGTCCACGGTTACTGTGCGTTTACACGTTAAAGACTTTTGTTGAAATTATATACTTGAAACTATCGTCTCGAGTTTGCGATCGTGTATTTCGTTGCCGTTGGTTTTGTCAGAATTTGTTTATATTCTGAACTATTTCGCCACGTGCGTTTGGAGCGTTTTCCAACTGATTCATCAAATTTTCTGACTATACTCACACGTAAGCCTACGAACTGAATTTGGTCCTCTCGTTTAGAAGTAGTGAGGCTTACAGGTATTGTACGCGTTTTCAAAGTAATACGACCAGTTTTAATAATATTTTAGTTTTATGTCACGAAAACTAAAACAGCAGATAGAAACAATACCATGCCCTTGCATGACTTTCCTATTATTGTACATTTACACTTAATAACAAGGAAAATGATGTGGTTGACACCTGGAAAAGCAATTAAATAACTCCGTTCGCTGACAAACAGAATTTCGCAAAATAACAATAATGATGCAAGTCCAGTATTTTCCCGTTTGCATTCCTCTCCCTCCAGTACTTAGTGGCCATTCTCTCAAAATTGGGCCTGCTATGTACGCCAGGACTGCCTTTGCTTTCTAACTTTTTTCTGATTGTAACAAAGGAATAGTTTATGCCTGAAAATATACCGTGACATCTTCATGTTTCTATGTTAATATTTCTTTTTATTACCTTATTTGCTTCTTTCATCATTTTTTCAAATTCATCTTCGCCGTTGATCTCTTTATAAACTTCGTAACCAATATTTTCCCCTAAACAGCGGAACAGGAAGGTTTATTAATAAATTACCATGCAAAAACCACGAGATAGCAAATATGTAAAAATGTAGAAAAGTTACTCAGTGATATAATTAACTTAAAACTAAATTCCCATTAAAATTATAATTAATATATTTTGTTGATATTTCTTCTATCTTAGGACAAATAAATTCGAACGTGCATGATGATAAGCAAATAGCAAACAGCCAAAAAACATGAGACAAGGTCGTGAGGCATTTGCTATAGGCACAACAAATTTTGGTTTAGGAAAATATCAAATGATCCCTTGATGGCATGGTTTCGCGGCCTGCATGCAGAATGTACTCTCACCATAAGACAAGCTAAGCTTTTTCAGTTGATCAAATATTAATATTTGAAACAAAAGTGCTGTACATACGTTCTGTTTACCAGAACAAACACGATGATATATGCCGGCTTAACAAGCTCATATTTAATTAGCCATGTCAGAGGCCCTTGAAGAGACGGTTTTTCTAAATCCTATTTCCCCGCCATTTTTTTACCAAATCCCAGTTTCAACTCTAAACTTAAACGAACGACTCAGAGCAAGTGTTTCACGTAGGTGTTGACTTTCAAACACAATATTGTGCGTTCAATAGGTCTCTTCAGAAAAAAAAACTTCACGAAGTAAAATGTTTAAAGTCTATAAATAATTGTCATTTTCTGTCACATACGAAGTAAATCACAGATTCACAATAGCAGAAAAATTACCTCGTGCAGTCAGGGGCGAAACTTCGGTATTACGATTGGGAGGGGGGGTGAGTTAGCTTGTTTTGCCCGACCGAAAGGGCGTGTCCGAAGTCGTTCCCGGCGGACGACCATTTCAGTCGCTAATTAATATTTCTTTTCCCAAATTGTTGGCGGGAGGGAGGGGTAAAAAATTTCCGGACAAGCATTTTTCACTAACTTTCGAAATAATTTATCGTAATTTGTAAAACGTTTTAGTAATATTTTCGTAAATTTATCAAAATTCTTTCTACAGTTATTACTTTTCAATCCGAGACACTCAAATATTTTCAAAATTTGCCCGACGAAATTGTATGGGTATACCCGACGAGATAGAGACTAGGGGTGTCAACCTCCCCCCCCCCCTCACATACCCCGGTAGTTTCGCCCCTGTGAGCGGTCGAGCCAGAAAACGGCAGAAGGCAGTCTTTCCTGGCATTTTAGACAAACTCTCAATCAAACGTTTCTTCATAGCTTCCTTAAAGATACATACAAGTGTGCAACTACAACTACTCTCTTTAGGATGGTATATGGGGTTTTCCATTCCCTTTCCCATGTTGGTCATCCCAGTTCCAATAAGCCCAGTCGCATTTGCCTAGTTCAAAAATAAGCAAATCCCAGTTCCATTTGACCCCTTCAGGTCCTCATATTATGCCATTTTTATCATGTCAAAAATGCTTGTTTGATTTCAAAAATCAAAAGCTCAGTTAATATCGCATGAAAATGTTATTGCAATTTATCAATAACACTTATATTTAATTAAGTGGTTATAGATACCCTGCATAACCTGGGCTACAATCTTGTGCAAAAATGATTGAGACAACTAAGTCATAGTCTCCTACCCCCTCTCCCACAAACAACGTTGGACAAACGATACTAAAGTATATTGTCGGATCAAATCTTTTTTAAACACTGTGTAGAGCGGCCGGGACAACTAAACACGGAAATAGAACGAAATGTCAAAAGTCTCATTATTTTGCCCGAGATTATCTGAGATCGAACCCCTGGGAGTTAACTGTCCAAAATTTAAAATTTTGCCAACCTCTAGCGGTGAAGTTGACATTTAGCGTAATTGACATATACCAATCAATTAACCAAAGTTTTTTGTCCCCCAAAATATAGAAATTCCGCGAGGAGGCTGCGCGGGAGACTGGGCAAGAGAAAATAAGCTTTTCTAATGAATTCTACATTTAACTATGCATTTACTTACTAAAGAAAAATCGGCTTTGCGTCAACAATAGAAACCAGGCACCTGGAGAAAACATCGCAACCTACCTAACGGAACTGAGAACAATCGCCAGAAATTGTGCACATGACTCCATTACACCAGACGAAATTTTACGGGATCGTCTTGTTTTAGGCATTCGTGATGACCACGTCCGAGAACGTTTATTGAGAATAAACGATCTCACGTTGCAGAGAGCAGTCGACACTATCAAAGCCGCGGAACAAACACAGCAACAAGTCAAGCTCATGAGCACCGGAGAAGATTTTGTAAACACGCTGGTGACAAACAACTGCAACGCCTAAAAACCTGCAAGAAGGAGATCTTTCGTACAGAGGAGAACACCGTAAAATCACCTGAAGAGCCAAATTGCCTGTATGGTTCGGAGATCAGCAAAGAACCGTTGAACTTTAACATTATTCACGGAGATTATCAACCAGTTTTATCATTAGATACAAGCATCGCTCTTGGCGTTGTCAATTTGACCACCTGTGACATTTTGGCACTGACAATAAAGCCTCCAGAAGACAACTCGTATGTTTGGCAAAGGCCAATGCATGAGTTTGCTCAAGATCTTAATGGAGTTGAAGTCATAGCAGATGACTTCCTTATCGCGGGATTTGGAGAAACTGGAGAGGAGGTCGATCGAAGCTTGGAAATGAATGAACGGGCATTTTTCAAGAAATATTGTGAGTGGAACCTCAAGCTGAATAAATCGGAGGGGAAGGGGAAGCGATCACAGACAGAAGTCCGTTTCATGGGACACCTCATTACCGCCGATGGCCTCAAAGCTGATCCAGCAAAAGTCGAATCGATCTTAGACATGCCTGCCCCAACTGACACAAAAGGCCTCAAAAGATTTCTCGGGATGGTAAACTATTTGGCAAAATTTTTACCTTTATTGTCGGACATGACCGAACCGCTGAGAAGACTTGAAGGTAAGGATGTAGAGTGGTGTTGACTCGAACAACACCAGCAAGCGTATGACACTGTCAAGAAGTCTCTAGCCAAAGCACCGGTCCTGAGATACTACGATGTCAGCAAGGAAGTTACTATTGAATGTGATGCTAGTGACACTGGCCTAGGTGCTGTCTTAACGCAAGACGGACAACTCCTTGTTTTTGCTTCTCGAGGGCACTTACAGATACAAATACTCGTTACGCCCAGATTGGAAAAGAATTACTAGCGATTGTCTGGGCAACAAGCAAATTCGATAAGTATATCCTCGGCCGAGAAACCGTTACCATAGAATCCGATCATGAACCGCTTAAGGCAGTTTTCATCAAACCTATACATAGCTCGCCTAAACGGTTGCAGAGAATGCTGTTGGCCCTCCAAAATTACAATTTCAACGTGCAGTACAAGAAAGGCAAACTCATGTGGATATCGGACACCCTGAGTCGTGCATATCCGGCGCGGATCCAGCCTAAACCCTGACCGTGGCTCAATCCAAAACCGCGCATAATTAGGGGGGTCCGGGGGCATTCCCCCCCGAAAAATTTTTGAAATTTGAACCCCGGAAATGCCATTTCCTGAGTTCTGAGCATCGAATTCTGTCATATAATTCGTCATTAATTACGCCATATTTTAGACAGCAAATAACGAAACGCACTAAATAAGTCAAATATTTAAACAACATATCATGTTTTTCAGCGAACGTTACAACATTAGAATGTTACAAAATCACTGTACTTACACAAAACCACAATTCTGTACCGCACGTACTGTTCCTGTGTATTTCAGGTTCTTCGTAGCAAAAAATATCCAATTAGGGCTGTACATCGAACTCAATCATGTTGGCGTTTCAGTTGCAACGTAGGTCTTTTACGGGGTGGGTTTTTTTAGCTGCACATCGATACCAAGTGTCTTATTCTCGATCATTCGCTTAAACTGTGTAGCACGGAGAGTTATCGTTGTGTGAACATTGGATTTTTCACCATGCTGACATAGTTTCTGGACAGCAGAAGCACTTGGAGGAAGAGCACTGGTCATCAATCGTTGGAGCTCGCTTGTATTATGCGTGCTTTCACTGCCAAAAAGAACACAAGTGACGCAAAAACCACCGTTTGCCACAGCAGAGTAAGCCAACCATGGAAATCGTGATAACCATGCCAACCGGAAACGTCTACCAATATTTTCGCGTGGAGGAAAAGAAAAATCAGAACCAGGTTTCCAATGGCAATGATTGCACAGAATTTCGTACTTTTTTGAATCAGGAAGACTGGACACCAGATTTACGTAGTTTACATAGATATCATCTGGCCACGAATTGGTGGAAGTTCGTTGTGTTTTGGTGTTATATTTTTCTGAGGTAGGACCAGTGTTGGGAGTTACAGATGAAATTCCTTTACTAGTGCTGGGAAATTTGATTTCACTGTCTACAGTTTCTTGTGTGTTGCACGCTCGTTTCACAAGAAGCGCATCGATCTAAGCTAATTTGTTTTCTTTTTGGACCAGTCGTCTGCTTTTTAGTAAATGTAGTCACTTGTGTAGAGGAAGGAGCAGAAAAAACTTTAGTAGAAACTTTAGGAGAAACTGTAGGAGGAACTTTAGGATGAACTGGCATCGCAGACTTCAATAAGATTGGAAGGTGTGCTTTAAAATAATGGTCTCGTGGCTGAAGTGCTTTAACTGGTTTGCACAAGGTAACAAAATGATTTTTGGTAGATAGAATTCTTCGATCAACCAAATAAGACGGTGGCATCGCAGCACAATGAAAGATATGGACATATCCAATTGCACTGCCATCAAGATAATCCCGTGGATATACTGTATTGTACAATTGAATCCAAGGAATCCCAATTTTCTTTCACTACAGTATCATTGGTGAGTGGGTGTAGAATGACTGAATGGCACACTGAATTACTGTGGACAAGGCAAACATGCACACCATGGATGAGAATGTGTAATTTTTTGCAGCTTCCTTTGCTTCTTCTAAAACTGCTGCATTTCATTACAATTCTCGAAAAAGTAAGAGCTGCATCAGATACACACGTGGCAAAGGCATTTTTAAGTGTAGTGAACGCTATTACGTTTTTATGCTGGGACTCAATGAAGGAGTGGTTAGCATAGTATTTGGCATTCTCAAACAGTTCAATACTGGTGAGGCATCTCAAGTGAGCAGACAAACTCTCATTCCCGATTAACACAATAGAACATGCATTAAAGAGACAATGAAGTACTGAAAGATATCTACTTAAGAAGTACTTAAGTATCAATGGTTATTTTATATTATTTTGTAAATATTCAATTGAAACTTTTAACAGAATGTCAACTTCTTTACACCACACAGTAATTATGTGATTATACTTTGCAAACTTCGCTCAAATTATCTGGAGAACAAATGTTATGCCTTGCCATTTGAGAAATAGCAAGGAACCATTTGTTTTTCCAAATGTTTTCCCTCCTTTTGCTTGTATAATATAATTTCATATAACTTTGTGCCGAAAGGATAATTACTAGAATTAGTCAGGGTAACCAATAGAACTAGAGTTGGTTTTAAGGTAAGGACTGGAGATTAAACTTTGGGATCATTAATATGGAAATTGAGCCATAATCATAATTATTTTAACAATGAGGCCCCCTACAATGTCTTTGTGTAATTTGAGTAACATTCATACCTAATTTTAAGAATTTTTTATCACTGCACATTTTTGTGCAAAGTTTAGCCGAGCGGAAGTCACGCCCTCAAAATCTGTGAACACATCCTTTTCACAATTGTAACCAAAAGACAGGCTACAATTGATATATAAAATGATCCCAAAATCAACATGCACTGCAAAGCGCCCAGGGCGCCCCCCCCCCCCCAAGGGAATTTGGGGGCCCAGGGCAAAAATTGAGTTGTGGCCCCTCCTGATTCCATCTTCTAACACTATGATTAAGAGGAACCGGGAGCATTCTCCCCGGGAAAATTTTGAAATCTCATCTCCCAGAAATGGCCAAATCCTGCATTCTGGAAGTTTGTTGGCAGTTATGCCTATATGTATATTTCAATGTAATTGTTTTTTGGGCCACCTTTAACTGGGGTCCAGCGCAAATTGCCCCCTCCTCCTGAGCGGCCTTGACAACATAGTTTGATAATCATATGCTTGCAGGAACGAAATATTTTCGTATTGGCGAATAAGAAGGCGGCTTAGATGTGACAAACTGTGAAAGAGTTCCAGGGGCATGCACCCATAGGAAATTTTGTAATCTAGCCTCTCTCAACGGGCCTTTTTTCAATGTGCGTGTATCATTCTTTAAAAAACTCATTAACAATTCATGAGGAAAATACAAAAGAAATGAATGTTTAATCAATGTTTGTAAATCGGATACAGATTTGTCCTGATTTACATAAACTTTAACTTTGATTTTCTCGGCTTAGACAATATTTATTTTTAAAATTACTTCGCCAATGAACTCATAAGATGGGTCGAGTTTGTATATCAGATAAAGATCGGCTGCTCATGTTTTATCTAGTACGTAGAATCCTGAAGATTATACACTACACAAGTATCATTCACTCCAACATCCAAGCGCTTTGATGGGAGACTTTGTTCATTTGATGAACCTTAAGTATAATATTATAGTGGTGACGTTCGATAATTTGGCAGTTATTATTTCAATTTTCATTCAAGTTATTCTCATTCAAAATGTTTTGATTATTAATACTTTCTAGTGACAAGACGAGTTTTTAGTTCAGTTTTTTCGGCTCATTTTCTTCATAAAATTAGCAATCAGTTATCACGGCAAATTTTATCACTGCACATTTAAAATTTTATCACTGCACATTTCATTTTTATCAGTGCACAAATTGGTTATCACTGCACACTAAAATTAGGTACAGTATGGTAACATTATGATGACATCAAATTCACAGCTGGCCTTGACTAACTCATGGGATTTTGTTGCAGTTTTAGATTCGGGATTAGGTTTTAATGTCAGGATTAGGATCAGGATGACATCATCCACAACAACATCAATATTCATGCACAACAAACACCTGTGAGATAGTCACCCTCCAGGGGTCAGTTGTTAAAAATATTTGCTGTGTTGGTGTAATGTACTCTGGTGAATAAGATGCTTGTGTGATGTTATTAGAATGTTAGGGTTAGTAATCCAAGTGAGAATATATACATTTTAAGACCTAACCAGGAACGACTGCGCAAAATGCAGCACAAGGTCCTCTGGTAGGAAATGAACCTACTGCCCTGCGATTCCTACCAGAGGACCTTGTGCTGCATTTTTCGCAGTCGTTCCTGGTTAGGTCTTAAAATGTATATATTCTCACTTGGATTACTAACCCTAACATTCTAATATTAATTCCACCAAGTGAAGTGCAAGAATCCATATTGTGTGATGTTACTCTCACTGTATATCCACACCGGGCAGGCTTGAAAAATATGCCTGGCCACGGTGGGATTCGAACCTATGACCTTTGGCAAAGGCATTGGGAGAGCATTGGGCTAGTATTCCAAAGGTTGTAGGTTTGAATCCCACTGTGGCCAGGCATATTTTTCAAGCCTGCCCGGTGTGGATATACACTCAGAGTAACATCACACAAGCATCTTATTCACCTGAGTACATTACACTAACAGTCCAACACAGCAAATATCATGATTATTAGATTACACTGATATTGAAGGAACTAGACAGTCTAGACTCAGTTCCAAAGTATTGCATACTCGAACCGATCTGACTGCATAGCTCAGTTGGCAGAGCATTGGGCTAGTATTCCAAAGGTCGTAGGCTCCAATCCCACCATGGCCAGGCATATTTTTCAACCCTGCCTGGTGTGGATATATACACTCAGAGTAATATCACACGAGCAATTTAGAACTATTTCTTCAGAAATCTTGTCTGGATGAATGAAAGTTTTCTTCAAAGCTTCGAAGTAAACGGGCATGCAGAAACACACAAACAAAAACACTAGGTTAAATTTTAACCAAGGATTAGCCTTAGCTTAGAACAACCGACCCGGAGGCGCTATATTTAAAGCTTGGTGAAACCAAATAGACGACTATATAGACCCAATACTGAAGTAAACATTTCATTTTACAGTCGACAATCAAATGTTGTAGCCGTAAACTGTAGCAAAACACTGATAACAGTTTTAAACAGAGTTTTTACTAATATTTCACGACTACATAGCGGATAAATGCAATTTATATTTTATTGACAACCGCCATGTGTTCGAGATCATATTACTATTTCACTAACAAAAATTTACATACATACAAATTTGCATGCACAAATTATTCCCTGACCCCAGCGTAAATGCAAATTTAATATAAGTCGATTAAAAATTCTTACCTAACAGGAACATTAGGCCCAGATCTTTCAGTTTGGCTCTTGGAGAACTGCAGTTTTGAAAATTCGCACGTTGGCAGCACGATGTCGCCAGTAGATTTTATACGGCGCAGCCTTTCTTCAGTGATAAATTCATCACATTGTTGCCTCAAGAGCGATAATTCCCCTGAAATATGTTCGCTTAGGTTTGCTTGTTGAAAGATTTCGACGAGCTTGCTAAGAACATCGACTTTTTTTAAAAGCTTCCATCCTGATAGCATCCATGTAGCTTGTGATGTATTATTCTAAATCCCGTCAAGTCGACAAGTATCGAACTTTATTGTTGATCATTTGTATTGCGCAATCAAAATAGAGCCACCGTGGCAGACCGTGGCGCACATGACCACAACTTGCCCTGTGATTGGTTTGCAACGCTGCACCGTGGCAGAAAGTTACTATATTTAGTAACAATTGCGCAATTTTTTGCACGCTGACCGTGGCATTTTGTGGCTGTGATCGCAGCTTCGAATTTACGACTGTTTTCCGAACATATTCGGCACAATTCGGCACGCTTTCGGCGGTTTTTATAGTTCAGTGTTTAACTGGATAATTATACTATTGAACAAGGAATATATTTCGGAAGTTTTTCCTGCTTTTAGCACATATTACTGTAATATGAGAACAATTACAAAAGATATTATTCAAATTGTTTGCTATAGACCTATATTTGCTCAATTTTGCTGTATTTCAAATAACTAATATATACTTCTTAAAAATGCGTAATGCAGTCTAATGCAGTATCCAACAAAGGTGAACCCCGGAAAATCCTGGGTGGGAAAAATCTGACCGTGGCTCGAGCCACTTTTGCCACGGTCTGGATCCGCGCCAACACAACAGGATCTTGGCGTCATGACACGACTGAGGTACGAGCCCTGGAAGAGATCGACCATGCAGAGAATCTGTCTATTTCTCCAGATAGATTAGTTGAGTTCAAGCGCGAGACACCGTCAGATAAAACCATGCAGAGTATCATCGTCGCGGTAAAGAATGGCTGGTCTACATCCAAGAGACAGTGCAGCCATGCAGGACTTGGCACCGTTCTACGACAGAACGCTGGAGAACGTTTAGTAGTTCCAACATCAATGAGAAAAGAAATGCTGACTCAGATTCACCGATCTCATATTGGCATAGAAGGATATCTTCGGAGAGCCCGTGAGGTATTATACTGGCCACTCATGAACGCAGAGGTTAAAGATTTGATTTCTAAATGCCCAACATACCCAATACCATTCCGTCCCTGGGAAACGATCAGTATGGACCTTTTTGAGCTTGGAAAACAGCACTTTGTTCTGCTCGTAGACCACTGGAGTGGATTCTTCGAGGTCCAAGAACTTACGAGAACTGCCGCTGATAAAGTATAGTAGCCTGCAAAGTCCAGTTTACACGACATGGAATCACAGATACAGTGATAACAGACAACGGACCTCACAAAAATCTCCTTAAACAACAAATCAACGAAGGCACTAGAGATAAAATGGCTGCTCGGAAATCACGACAAATTCGCCATTATAACAAGACGCACCATCCCCTTAAGCCATTAAAAAAAGGATCAAGCTATACGAACGAAATTACCAAATGCAACAAAATGGACCCTTGGAACGTGTACCAGGGTTTTGGATAACAGATCGTACGATTTAGTTGTGAGTGGAAGGAAATACCGACGAAATCGCCGACAACTCCGGGCATCGGAAGGAAGACCTCCAACACCAGCTGGTATGGATCCTGAGGTTGGATCTGAGCAAAGTAGTAGGGAACCCGAGAACCGTTCGATTGTAAATGAACCCAATCTCGAACACGTACCACTATTAGACGGTGAAACCTCCGCTGAGACCATTGGAAATCTACCACGTCGATCTGCGCGTACAACATATACACCGGTGTGGCACAAGGATTATGTCATGAAATGAGCGCTCTCAGCGTTAGACAACTCAAACGTTAAGTACCAGTACTTTATGATTATATACAATTCTATATTATACAGTAGTTTCATATTTTGTTATGGGGAAAAGTTGTCACGATGTCATTAGGTGACGTCACGATGGAGAAAACATTAATTTGATTGACAGGCGCGACGAGCGAGGCGTACGAAAAGTAACACAAGCTAGGCGTTTTTCGTATTGTAGACAAATGATTTCTTGTTAATCAGAAACTATATCGTAATAAACTAACACGTTACACATACAATACACGCACATTATCACAGCTTTTATATGAAACGCAATAGTTAATGATTAACCGAATACACACAACAATAAACAATAAACAATGAACAATGAGCTATTGATAAGTTAAGTGTATAGTGTGATACACAAGAGATCTAGAGATAGTTTTGACACGCTATTGCAGGGAAGCACATCAGCACAGAATAATAAAATATATAGCGTAATAAAATTATAATATTGTGTCTAAATGATCATAAAAGAGCTGTTCCCCTAACGACCCGACGATTCCGCAGACGACAAAGAAACAAGTTAAATAACCAACAAAGGGTCGCTTAACACAGCATTGTGTGGAGATTTTCCCACAGCTGGGAAACACCTCAAAAATGCATATACATCACTGATTGGTTATTTTTTATATACGGGTTTTGGGTAGATATGCAAAAGCATATGGATTTCCTGAGGCGGTATCCATTTTCGCCCCCCATCACCTCCCACACCCCCACATTAACTTCTTCCGCCATCGCGCCTGCAACATAGCCTACGTTAGGTATACTATCAACCTCTCCCTGCATTTAAAAGTCGGATACCCGTTATAATAAATTTCATGATAAATTCCATGCCAAATCACATGGCACTGTTCTTAAGCCCCTACCGTGGCAACTTGGTGTTAAGATTGGATCATGATAAATTATTACTAAAAGTTGTTTTGGCGTTACTTACAACATTGAACTGAGAGATAAGGTGACGAAATTTGTGATTTTCACGTTTGTGTCATGAAAAATCACTAACGTGGCAACATCTTGGGCCTAAACCGCACGACATACTAAAATTTTAAAATTAAATCTGATTTGAAGAAGAATTAATGATACAATAATATCAATTAAAGCTGCTGCAATGAATTGTCATGTTGTCCTTTCTCGCATTCTTTGTTACATTTCATGATCAACAGTTAAGTGATCTATTTCAGAACAGTAATGTCAACATGTCATTTGATAAACAGGCGTTTCATTAAAATTTTCAATGTAATATATATAATCGCAATTCGCGACAAAATTTCCAATCACGCTATTAACACACTGTCCACACTGTGAAACAAATATTGTCAAAAAATAAAATTGTGTCCCAGGAACTCACGCGACGAAAGAGAACTGAATGAGGATGGACTATACTAATTTACATAACAAAGGAATGTAGATTTTATAACACATATCAGGCTTTCCTTTGCTCGTATTCTCCGCCGTACATGCACATCCAGAATCAGGATTATATGGATGTGAAGTTCACTCAGTCTGCTTTATATCCAAGTTTGCGAATGTTCAAGATTAGAAGTTTTCCAAATTCTATACCCTCCACCCAGCAGCGTCTGTCAAAATCCCAAACAAGTAAGGTTGTCAAATTCGCTGGGGCTGCCTCTCTCCCTCCCTCCCTCCCTCCCTCCCTCCCTCCCAGGTCAGAAACATCGATAGGGGCATCAAAAAACCCATATCCCATAACAGAAATGCTATACATACAGCTCATTTTTCTTCCTTTCTTCTTCAGATCTGTAAGACACGCGTAATTGAACATTTTAATATGGCACGCGTTAGGTAATAAAATAAGCGTTATTTTGAAATAATTATTGGGAACATAAGTTATTCCGTTAGCAAATACGATGGTTTGCTACTTGCATGTATTTCTAGTATGATTAACAGAGTCGTTACATGTACAGTGAACAGGTTTTAACTGATATTGCTTACCCATGTCAAGCTCTGATTGTCTTTAAGTTGGACGAATTCTGATACAGAGCTGTGTATTTTTTGGGTGACTTTATCAAACTGACAGGAGTATAGTTCTTTGAAGTCTATATTTGTATAAATATAAAGATAAATGTCATATAAAGTACAGAAAAAAGCTTATTATGCGCACATGTCCCCGGCATGGTTAATGATGATAATCATGCATATTTAATAATTATAAAATAAGTTTAAGTTGTATATGTACTATTTAAAAAACGAGCAGGAGTGTTTTATTAGGTTTAAAGCCACGAGCGCGCAGCGCGAGTGGCTTTAGACCTAATAAAACACGACCCGCGAGTTTTTTAAATGACTTCAAAAACGTATGCATAATAAGTCAAATCTTTATATAAAAATCTTTATATAAAAATCTTTATATAGTTTGCATAACAATGGTCTTTTGTTAAAGTGTTCTTTAGCTGGTATAAAGACGTATGCACGTGACTAATTTCTTACTCAAGATTGGATAATTGCTTCATGAATTATTAATGAGTTTTTGAAGTACAATATAAAGCACTTGTGGTCGTACTTTATCTGATACTAAAACACGAGTGCGCCGCAAGCGTTTTTTATATCTGATAAAGCACCACTATACAATTAGTGCTTTAAATGACAGAAAAAACGACCCATCTTATGAGTTCGTTGGCGAAGTAATTTTAAAAATAAATGTTGTCTAAGGGGCTGATTACATGGACCGGGCCAGCCCGGTTAACCGGGCTGAAAAATGTCACGAAAATCTTCCTTGGGCCGCAAAATGAATTTTAAATCGGGTTTAGGATGATTTTGCATCTATAATAAACCAATTATTTATCGCAAATTTATTTTACACGAGTTTTAAAACCACAGTAAGGTCCTAAACAAACGAGTCAGCCGGGTTAACCGGGCCAGCTCGGCACCATGTAATCAGCACCTAAGCCGTGAAAATCAAAGCAGTAAAGTTTATGTAAATTAATATTTTTTCTATCTGCGCTAGCGCCGATACAATAGAGACCTTGCGATTTTAGGACGGCAACGCGACGGCGAGGGCCAAAACAAACTCCTTCAAATAAATGGTAGTAAAGATAGTTCGTCGTATGTTATCAATCGTATGAATTTAATACAGTTTTAGAAGTTGAAGACATGGGTTTTATGTTTGGTTTGCACTTGTGGCTTGGAATGTTTGAAGTTGCACTTGTTGCACCAGTTTGAAGTTGCACTTGTTGTGGCTTGGAATGCAACCGTTGTATCAAGGTTTCTAATGTTAGTTTTGCACCGTTTTAGGCTAAATAAATATAATAATGCCTACAATTATTTTAGTAATTGTAACTGCCCGAAATGTTGAAAAAATAATATTAGAGACCATGGCATTTAATAGGAATTTTACATAGATATTAGTCATTTTGATTTTTTAATTCAGTGTCTTGACTCAACACGGGTGTGATAGGAACTTGAGAAAATGACTGTTGCAACTTGTGTGTTTTGATTACAATTTGCTCGGAGTAATTTTCCAGTGAACTCAATTTATATTACTTTATCTACAATGATAACACTCAGTCATTTGGCAGTTAAAAAGTGAAGCCTCGTGCACAGAGTAACATACAGAGGCTTATCTCAGTGAGAAAACCGTATAAGGAAGGTGTTTTTTTGGCCGCCATGTTCTTAGCCAGTACCCGCCAATGCGCAGTATATACGTATGATGGCCATGTTCTTAGGCATTCCAGTACAGTTTCTCTTTACTGGACTGCCTAAGAACATGGCGCCTTTTTCAAAAAAATCACTTACGCTAAATTAACCTGAAGTGAGACCTCTGTATGTACTTACTCTGTGCCTGGTGTGAGCAGTGGCATCAGATCTCTGCATGTCTTTTATCTGGAACGATGACATGCAGGGAGAGAAACATGAAGCCAATACCATGCAACGCCACTTGATGCACGACCGCGCGGTGATGCGTATAAGGCGACTGAAACTGATGTACTATTTGGCGTGGAGAGCTGACGCCACTGCTCACACGCGCATTGCTCATGCAAGGCTTCACTTTTCAACTGCCAAATGACTGAATGTTATCGCCAGGGCCGTAGCT